CGTGAGCAGTTTCTCAAAGCCACCCTTTGCTATCCCCCCCTTTCGCCCGACCCGACAAGACCTCGGGGCTCTCCACGCCTCCCCTGACCTTCCAGAGAGCTATTGTTTAGCACTGGAGACCTAAAAACCTAAAAAACTAAGCGAAACAGCCTAAAAGCAAGACGTAGAATAGCCTTGGGATAGGTTTTTAAGTCGCGTGCTATTTTTTAGCCCTCTTGGAAGGTCAGGGTCAGGGCTCTCCCCGCCTCCTTGCGGCCTGCGCGCCGCCGCGCGGGAGCGTCGCGCCGGCGGGCCCCCCGGGGGGCGACCGGCGGGCTCCGAGGGGCCGGGGAGCCCTCCGCGCCGGCCCGCCCCAGACCCCTCGACCGGGAGGCATGAGGGGGTCTCTCGGCGGCACGCACGGGGGCGTGGCGCGAGAGGGGCGTCGTCGTCGTCGTCGTCGGCCTTGGCGTCGGCGTCGTCGTTCGTCGTCGCCGTCGTCGTGGTCATCGTCGTCGTCATCGTCGGCGTCGGCGTCGGCGTCGGCGGCGTCGTCCCAGCCCCGTCCGAGACACCCTGCACGCAACGTGCCCGAGGCACGGAGCGGAGCCAAGGATCGGGGGGGGGGGCGAAATGGGTACGGAAGCAAATTGTGCAAAGCCCAACAAGTAATCGTTTTCTTATTCCTTGTTTTCCCCCCCATGGAGTAGATCTTGGCTGTTCTTGGTGCCTGTTTCAAGCAGGTGGAGCCTCCCCTACACAACGCACTGTTGCAGAAAGTCACATTACGCAGAGGTCTGGAGCTGGAGTCAGACCCCCCCCTCCCCCCGCCCTTCCGCCCAATGTCGAATTGCCGAATAAGAAAACGTTCACCAGCAGTTGCTGCTCACTCTGAACAGGATTCGCTGTACGCGCCGCCGCGGACGTTGCTCCTTGAATACAATAAGCCGCCTGCCCAACAGCGGCCGTTGGGGGTTTTGGACAAGATGTGTTGTTGGGCATTGCACCCATTCTCTCCGTACACATATCGGACGTCCGAACAGGAAGTTGGGCAAGTTTCCGATGGAAGGCAGGTGTTTTCTTCGAAGGCCGTGGAGGATTCTATGAGAAGGCTTCCCAGAAGCTGAGACGGCCTCGCAGAAGGCTCTTGCCTTCCCTTCTCGGAGGTGTGCGCCGCTCTCTTAGAGAGGCGCGCCACCCCCTTGAGCGCGCTGCCAAGGCTGGGGCGTGCAGACGGGCGTATCGCTGGAGGGCGCTGGCCCTTTGATCCCAGCTGCAGCGACCTTCAGAAGAGGACGAGTTTAGACAACGGTACGCAGTTGGTCTTCGGGGGGCCCCTCGTCGCCACGGCGGGGCGCAGCTCGAGGGACATTTGTGCGTTTAGACCCTGGGAGGGGTCCAGGGATCGATTCTGAGCTGCCGCTGTCTCAACTCGCACTGCTCTGGCCAGCTGCGCTGAACCACGGTCCCTCCGGAGTGGCGGCGCTCGCGGCGGGGCGGTCACAGCCCCGCGGGGCACGCCGCACCCCTCGCACGCGTCGTGGCCCCATGGGGAGCTATGGGGAGCTCCACCGAAGGACCCAGTGGCAGGGCCCGCAGGCCGCCACCTCGCCATTTCAGCACACCCCTCACGCGCTTCGTAGCCCAATAGGGAGCTCCACCGAAGGACCAGTCGCCGGGCCCACGTCAACTTGGTTCGAGGGTCCACTGGAGGGCCTCCCTCGCGCTGCTCGCCCTCCTCCTGCTCGCCGCCGCCGCGTCTCCCCAGGCGTTTCTGCCTCGCGGCGAGGGCCCGCTGCACCTCCTCCTCTTCCTCCTCCTCCTCCTCCTCCTCCTCCTCTCTCCTCCTCCTCCTCCTCCTCCTCCTCCTCCTCCTCCCCCTCCTCCTCCTCCTGCTCCTGCTCTTGCTCCTCCTGCTCCTCCTCCTCCTCCTCCTCCTCCTGCTCCTCCTCCTCCTCCTCCTCCTCCTCCTCCTCCTCCTCCTGGTTCCCCGAGGCAGGCCTCGCATCCCGAGCGCCAGCCGACGGGAGCCACAGCGGTCGACCGCCCCGTCGGAGCCTGCCTCTGGGCGCGGCCGGCAGGGCCCGCGCAGCGAGCTGGCCCGTGGTCCTTCTCGCCGCTGGGGCCCGGGGTCCGCACCGGGGGGCGCAGACCGTGAGGCGAGGCCCGCCGCCCCCGCTGCCCTCCCCTCCCTCCCTTTCCCCTCCCTCCCTCCCCCCCCTCCCCTCCCCTCCCCTCTTCTCCCCTCCCCTCCCCTCCCCTCCTCCCTCCCTCCCTCCCTCCCTGCACCCCCCTCTCCAGCGCGCGGGAGCCCAGCGGCAGCGTGCAGGGGCGGCCGACGACGCGGGCGGGGGCGGCGGCGGGGCGGGGGGGCCGCGGAGGCCCGCGGGCGGGGCGGCGCCCCGCCCGCGGCCGCGCCCGGAGGGCACCCTGGCGTACGTCAACCTGCTCCGGCTCGAGGAGGAGGCCTTCGAGGTCCCGCCGCCGCTCCGCGGCGGGCCGGGGTCCCGGCCCCAGAGATCCAACGGAGGTTTTTCTGATTTTTCGGCCTCGAGGGGCCCTCGCCGGGCCCCGGGACCGTCAGAAAACGACTCAGGATGAGAAACCGGTCCTGGGGAATGGGTCAAGACTTCTGGGGACCACGGATTGAAAAAATCACGACATCGGATTTGTGGGGCGTTGAGTCGGGCGTGCCGCTCTACCGGGGGAAGATTCAAAAATAGCCCCTCAAAAATTGGCAAAGCATCGTCAGGGGGCCATCTTTGTCCTATTCTTCCCGATCTGGGGGGCACTTTTGGGTACATTTTTTTGGTCGCCCGAAAAAATCCCCCTGTAGGGGTCCCGGCGTTGAGTCGGGCGTGCCCCTCTGCCGGGGGGATATTCAAAAATAGCCACAAAATAGTCCAGGGGCGTTCCTCTCCTGACTATGTTTGGGCAGTTGGGGAACAGGTTTGGAGTATGTTTTGTTTGTCGCCCACAATCCGCCCTGTGGGGGGGGCGCGCCCGACTTGATCCTGGCGCCCTTGCTCGCCCAAAATCCCAAAATCCCCCCTGTGGGGGGGGGCAAAATCCCCAAAATCCCCAAAATGTTTTGTTTGTCGCCCAAAATCCCCCCTGTAGGAGGGGCACGCCCGACTTGATCCTGACGCCCTTGCTCGCGCTCGGCGATGCTCGCGTGCTCGGTGCCGCGGGTGCCGGTGCTCGTCGGTGGAGTCCGAGCCCTGGCCTCGCCGATCCAGTGCGGGGTCTCCCGGGTTTGGGTCGGGCCCGTCCCCCCTACGGGGGGAATGCTCAAAAATCGTCGAAATATAGCCTGGGGGCCATCTTTGGACTATGTTTAAGCATTTTTGATATTTTTTGAGTATTTGTTATTTTCGCCCAAAATAGTCAAAATATAGTCTGGGGATCATCTGTTGACTATGTTTGAGCATTTTCGGTATATTTTGGGGGGTAGTTCTGAGTTTCGCCCAAAATCCCCCCTGTAGGGGGACACGCCCGACGTAAGGCTATGCTCGCGTGCTCGATGCCACGGATGCCGGTGCTCGGCGGCGGAATCCGAGCCCTGCCTTTGCCGTTCCAGCTCTAGGTCTCCTAGGTTTGGGTCGGGCCTGTCCCCCTACAGGGGGATCTTGGGCGACGACTTAAAGATAGCCTAGAAGTACTCCAAGAGTGCTCGAAAATGCTCAACGAAATCGTCCCCGTGCCAACCTTTCTACTGTTTCTGAAGATTCCTCCTGCAGAGGGACAGGCCCGACTTACTCCTAGGTGGGGTCGGAACACATGGTCGGAGAATCGCGCCGCATCGGCGATGCATCGCCGATGCGGCTCGATGTGGAGCCCGATTCCTTTCACGTTGAAGTCGCCGATGCACCGCCCACGTCGCAACCTGGCATCGCTCGGACGTGTGCGTTTTTTCCTCGGCGGGGACCATCGAGGAGCATCCTTGATCATTTGCCGAAAAAACCACGCACGAAGCCCAAAAAACACAGGGAATGGACGTCCGAGCGATGGCCAGGCAACCGCTGGGGACCTCACTCCCAGTGGTCTTCGTCCCCCCTCGTCCCTTGCCCCCTCCCAGTCTTTTCCCCTTTCCTCCTGCTCTTGCTGCTGTTGCGGCCCCCGCCTCTCCCTCGGCTGCTCTCTGCCTGTCGTTGCGGCACCTACTCCCCGCCTGCGGCGCCGTGCTCTTGGAAGCTCGTGGCCCCGAGGGTCCCGGCACCTTCCCTGGAGGATGTCTTCGTCCCGGAAATATTCAGAAGCCGGGCGAAGGCTGGCAAATCCGTGGCTGCTACATCGGAGCTCCAGGAAATGGTTGTTCTTTCGGGAAGCAGCCTTTTTTAAATCCTGCGCGCTGAGATTTATTCCAGGATTCTCTTTTCGGTAAAGCCGTCTTAGCAGCCACGGATTTGCCAGGCCTCGCAAGCTTCCGATCTATGTTTGATGACCCTCAGGGCTTGACGATAGGCCCCCGAGGCCGCAATCGAGGAAAACTTGCATGGACTCTAAGGCTATATCGCTGTATCGTTGGGTATCTGGGTGGTGTCTCCCCGTGTTCAGTCGACGCCTCTTCGGGGTCAACGCCAGGGTCTCAGGGATTCGTCGGCAAAACACTTGTTTTTATCTGCGGGCATGCGGGCGGGGCCCCTGGGCCGCGATCCCGCGGATACGGGGCGTTTTTGTCCGCGGATGGCCCGCGTGGATTGTATCCGTGCGACCGCGTATCCGCGGGATCGCGTCCGGGGATCCAGACCAGAGGGCGCGGACACGGACATGTTCGCCACTCGTGAGGGATGGTCATCGTTTTGTTTCCCGTTCATTACCCACCCAACAACCCCAACCCAACCCGAAGGCACCAAGTCGCCTTCCATTCCCAGCGCGGGACATCCGGGAATACTGGAACATCTCCGATTGAACCCGTACGCCCTCCAGCCCAAAGCTTTGTGACTCCGGGTTGGGCTGGGGTGGTCTGGCACGTACATAGCCGCCCTCCACCAGCGCGCGGTGTGGCCGGCGATGGCCCCATGGCGCCGCCCAGAGTCCTCCTGTGGGGTGGCGCACCGTTGCGGCTGGCGGCCCTGCTCGCCGCGGGGCGCTGGCCCAGGGCAGCGACTCGGGCGACGCTCGGCTCCGACGAAAGGCGGCGACGAGCGCGACGTTTCGGAGGAGGCCCATGGTCGCAGCGTCGTATAGCCAAGACACGATCGCGCCGTGGAAAGTGTAACGACGGTAGGTTTTCGCCGTTTACGGCCTCCAGGGGCCCTCGCCGAGCCCTAGGATCGTCAGGAAACGGCCCAGGTGAAAAGTTGGCCCTGGGGAGTGGGTCGGGTCTTCCCGGGACCCCGTGTTGAACACATCAGGACATCGCATGTCTGGGAACCGATCCCCGGCCCCACTTGGCCATGGTATCTCAGGCCCACCAGCCGACCCTCGCAGGTGGGGATTCGGCCCCGCGAAACCCGATGGAACATGCACATGTTCCCGCCTGCGTCCGTAAGTGGGCCCTTTGGGGCCAAGGCCACGCCAGAGGGCATGGGGATCGGTGGAACGATGCTCATGGTCGAGACGACGGCCCTCCCTGTCGTGTCCCGTTCTCTTTGGGCCTCCCTGTCGTTTCCCGTTCATAAGGAGAAGGAATGGAGGGGGGGAGGAGGAGGGGGAGGACGAGGAGGGAGGACGAGGAGGAGGGGAAGGAGGAGGAGGAGGAGGACCAGTGTAAACCGAAAAGTCATCAAAGATGTTGGAGTAAACCCTCCCTGCAAGCTCCCTCTTCATAGGCCCTTGCAGCGGTTCATTCCCATTGAGGGACCACCCGTCGCGCCGCCACGGCTGGATCCACCGCGAGCAGCGGTCGGGACGGATCCCCGGCGAGGGCCGCGGGCGGGTGCCGCGGGCCGGGCGGGAGAGCCGCCGAGGTCCGAGGCGTGGTCTCGGGCCGCTTGGGGCGTTTCCTGGGGGCTCCCGTCGGTGTGGCGGAGCGCAGCTCGCAGATCTGAGGAGATGTCGATGATGATGATGATGATGATGATGATGATGATGCTGATGATGATGATGATGATGATGATGATGATGATGATGATGTCGATGATGTCGATGATGATGTCGATGATGTCGATGATGATGATGATGCTGATGCTGATGCTGATGTCGATGATGATGATGATGATGATGATGATGATGATGATGATGATGATGATGATGATGATAATGATCATGATGGTGGTGCTGATGACGATGACGATGCTGATGCTGATGATGATGCTGATGATGCTGATGCTGATGCTGATGCTGATGCTGCTAATTACGATGACGATGATGATGGTGACGATGACGATGATGACGGTGATGATGACGATGATGATGTTGATGTCGATGGTGTTGATAATGATGACGATGATGATGGTGATGACGATGATGATGACGATGATGATGATGATGGTGATGATGCCGATGATTTCGGTGATGGTGGTGATGATGACGATGATGATGATGATGATGATGATGTCGATGGTGATGCTGTTGATGATGATGATGATGGTGACGATGATGATGACGATGATGATGATTGTGATGATGACGGTGATGATGGTCATGATGGCGATGATGATGATGTCGATGGTGATGTTGACGATGATGATGATGATGATGTTGATGATGATGCTGATGATGATGCTGGTGATGATGATGGTGGTGATGATGATGATCATCATCATCAGCATCATCCTCATCATCATCAGCATCATCATCGGCCGCATTATCAGCAGCAGCAGTAGCAGCAGCAGGATGGTTCATTCTGAAAGCTTCCTGGGCTTGTTTGTTGCTACAGTTGTGTAAATATTGGGCTCTTGACATGTTCAAACTCTGAAACACACGCTACGAGGTTTGGACGGTTAAGGTTATTGTTAGCGTTCTAGGGCCGTCGTTTTGGATCATCTGTGAAACACGTGTTTTCTGTTCGAAGGTTTCTCATTGTCTTCCCCTGCCGTCTTCGCTCCCGCTCGCCCGTTCCTGCTGCACCTGTTCCTCCCTCTCCGCGTGCAGAGCTAAAAACTCAAAATATAAAACACGCATCACACTGGTCGAACACGAGCGCGAAACAGACCCTGAGGGCCCGCGACCGGACAGCAACCGCTTAGTGAAGAGCAGAAGGAAACAGAAGCCGAGTACAAAACGAAAGCAACAATGCCCAGGGAATATGTCGGACGAACGAGGATCATTATCATCATCATCAGCAGCAGCAGCAGCAGCAGCATCATCATCCTCATCATCATCATCCTCCTCCTCCTCCTCATCATCATCATCATCATCATCATCATCATCATCATCATCATCATCATCTGCATCATCATCATCATCAGCATCATCCCCATCATCTTCATCATCATCATCATCCTCATCTTCACCATCGTCATCATCATCAGGACTGCGGGAGGCGTGCGGGGGAGCGAGGTCGCCTCGGGAAGGTGGCCAGGACGTGTCTCGGGCCCCCCGTCATCGCGGCCTGGGCGCGGCGCGAAGAGTTTGGCACTGAGTGGATCCTCGGAGGCATCTGGGGACGGGTTCTGGTGCGAAGTCGCGTTCCCCCTGGGGCAAGCCTGGGGACGGGGCCAACTGATCGACAAACAACAATTGCATACACGTACTCTGTCGGAGGTCGGGGATGCTCTTTGAGAGAGTATACTTATGCCGCTGCCGTTCCCCCTCTAGTCGAGGCGCCTTCCCTTTGTTTAATCGCTCCTTCCGCTGGCCCGTACAGACTTGCATCGTGGCTGGCAGTCTTGCCTGTGTTTTTGCATGGGGGTCCTGAGAAGGTGGTGTGTGGCGTCTGTTTTTCCCGAGCTGTCGCGCGAACCTCGCCAGGGCAGTTGCAGGGCAGCGCTCAATTCAGGACCCTCACGCCGAAGTTCTGCCAGTGCATCCCGCCACCGTTGGGTCGCGGGTCAGAGGCGTGTTGGACGCCTCTCGAGTTCTCCTGGCATGTTTCTCGGGGTCTGTTCGAAGCTTGCTGGGGGCTTCCTCTGCTTCCTATGGCCTGTCTGGGGGCTCTTTGGGGCCTGCTGGCGTTCCCGTAAGCCCTCGTGGGCCGTCTGGGAGCCCTCGTAGGGGCCTCTTTGGGCTGTCTTGGACTGATCTCGGGGGCCTCCTGGGCAGTCTTGGGCGACCATGAACCCAGCCAGGCGAGAACGCTACTTCTCCAAGCATCGAAATAACATCAATGACTTGTGCGTCCTGGGGCCCTCGGTGGGCCCTCATCAGGCAGTCCTGGGCCGTTTGCGAAGCTGCTGGGCCGTCTCGGGGCCCGCAGTTCGGGCATCCCCAGCTGGGACTTGACCCAGGCATGACAAGGATACACTCTAGGCGATGCTTAAGAAAACCCAAGTTTTCGGCCAGAGTCTCGATTATTCTTAATGTTTCAATGTGAATCCTAAGATTTGAATAGACATTCTGTGTTTTTTCTCAAAATTCTGAGACTATGAATTTCTTAACCCATGATTTCTAAAGCATTTCGCAGGGTGTACCCCAGAAGGTGTTGGGGACAGATTGTCGTTGGACGTCGCATGCGGACCGAAGCTCATGCTATCTCAACGCCTTCCTGTTTCATGTTTCGAATTGCTGACTTCTCCTCGTGGGCGGAGCACCTATCCGTATCCTCGGTCTCGTGGGCCGGGCCCCGGAGCCGCGACCCCACGGATACGGGGCGTTTTTTCGCGGATGCCCCATGCGGAACATAATGTTTGCGGCCGCCACGTCATCGTTGCCCGGAATTCAGACCGCGAGGGCGCATGTACGGATATGTTCGCCGCTCGCGATCTGTCGAATTGACAGGCGGAGGGGCTGGGCCACCCCCCACTTGCGTCGACTCCACCCCTGAGGAGGAGGCGGCGAGCCGCGGGCTGCCTGGTGGCCGCGGCAGCGCCATCGGGTTCCTGGAGTGCGAGGGCCCGGAGTTCGACCCAGCCTGGGCGGAGTTCCGACGCCAAATACCGCCTGGCCTGGGGCGGGACGCGGCGGTCGTCACCGAAGCGCTGGCGGCCCAGGCCGCGAACCTGGTCGGCGCGGTGGAGGCGCAGGACATCGGCGCGGGCGCCGCGGCCTTTGGCGCGCGCCTGCGCTCCGGGGCGGGCGGCGGGGAGCCCACGGAGAGCACCGGCTTCTGCCTCTACGGGGCCGTCGCGGCCTACGCCGTGTGGGCCGAGCACCTGCGGCAGCGGGGCGCCGCAGCGGCGGCCGAACAGGGGGCCCCAGGCCCGAAGAGCTTCGCGGCGCGCGCGCTGCTGCTGCTGGCGAAGAAGCAGGCCAACGACTTCCTGGAGTCCACGGGCTGGCCCGTGAGGTCGCTGGAGCTCGTCGCCCTGCTGCAGGGCGAGGACGCGGCGGCGATCCGCGGCCTGGAGGCCCGGTTCCGGCTGCCCTGCCACCTGACGCTCGGCTGCGCGTTTGCCCGCCTCCGGGCGGAGGAGGCTCAGGAGGGGAAAAATTCACAGACACAATGAATCAGCGATTCCCAGAAAATATGGGAAAACATGGGAAGTGGGGGGAAAGACAAGCACCCAGAAAATATGGGAAAAGATGGGGCATATCTCTTTCTTTGTGTGTGTTCATTTCTGTGTCCTGGGGCCCCTTCAGAGGCAGTCGCGCCGCCGCCCCCGCCGCTCCCGAGCGACTGGCCCCGCCGCGTGGCCGCCGCGGGCCTGCACATCACCTCCACGCTGGAGGCCGTCACCGCGCTGCAGGGCGCCGTCTCCGAGGCGTGGGGCCGCGGCGGGGCCGGCGGGGCGCCCTTCGAGGTTCAGGAGGGGGAAAAAAACACAGGCACAATGCATCGTCGATTCCACAGAACATATGGCAAAACATTGGAAGTGGGGGGGAAGACAAAAAAACAGAAACTATGGGAAAATGTGGGGAATCCTTTCATTTGTGTGTGTTTGTTTGTGTGTCCTGGGGCGCCCTTCAGAGGTGCACTACGCGGGGCACCCCTGCCCGTCCCACGCGGGCAGCGAGCACCAGTGCGCCATGAGGTGCGAGCTGCTGGGGCTCTGCGACCCGGGCCCTCCACGGGTCGAAGCCAGCGTGCCTCCTGCCTCCACTCTCCCTCTCTCGGCCTCCCTATCTCTTAGTGTCTCTCTCGTTCTCTCCCTCTTCCTCTTTCTCTTTTTGTTGTTGCTCTCTGTCTGTCTCTCTCTCTCTCTCTCTCTGTCTCTCTCTCTCTCTCCCCCCGTGTATATATATATATACATATGGGATGGCCTTCGGCCCATCTCGCCACGGTGCCTGGATTGTTCCTCTCGGGGACAGTTTTGGAGCTTCTTGGGGACAGGTTTGAGGCCTCTTGGGGGCCTCTTGGGGGCGCTCTTGAGGTCCCCTGGGGGCCTCTGTGGGGCGTCGTGGTGGCGTCTTTTGGCGGCCTCGCGGGGGCCTCTTGGGAGCGTCTCGGATCCTGGACGTTCCCGACGATGTTTCCTCAAGTATCGTATCCTGTTGCGTGGTTCGAGTGCGCGAGCTGTGTCGTGCATGTAATGTTGCGTTCTGTTGTGCTGTTCCTGCCTTCGAGGTTCCCAAACTGTATACTCAAAGGGAAGCACCCGCTTAAGGCATCCCCCATAACAAGCTCGAAGCGGTGCGCCCGCTTGAGAGATCCTAAAACACTCTTCCAAAAGGAAGCTCCCGCCTGAGAGGCCCCCCGACAGCAAAACTCAAATCGCTACTCCCGCCCGAAAGAAAAAGCACCCCCTCTCATCCCTGCGACCGTCCCACAACAACCTAGAACAAAACACCGCAAGTTCCAGAGGTTAGCTGCCGCCGCGGCTTCATACGCATTCGTAACACTCGTAACACCGAAGGGAAGAGTCCCGCCTGAGAGGTCCAAGCCAAATCGCTCAATCTGATGATCCCGCCAGAGGGTTCCCGGAAAAAGAAAAGCGCTGACATATGCTCCCGCGTGATGAAAATCAAACACTCAACAACAAGCAATAGCAACCCCTCTCACCCATGCGGTCCCCCTAGCATCCGACAGCACCGAACGTTCCAGAGGAAAACGCCTCCTCACCCACCTTCCCCATCCTCTTCTTACCCGTCCTCTGGTAGGTGAGGAAGAGCTCTCTTCAGAAACCAGGGGCTCCTTGTTCTTTTGGGGGGTCGTTGCAGGGATGCGAGGGTGATTGTTGTTGTTTGTTTTCTGTGTAAGACCTTCCAGGCGGCAACCTCGTTTGAAGTTCTTTTGTTGGGGACCTATCCGGCGGGGGTCTCGTTTTGAGTATTTGTTTGTCGGGGGACCTCTCAAGGCTCTTCCTCATCAGGTGCGCTGCCCAAGCCGTCGGGCGAACTGCCCAACGATTCGGATGCAATGCCGATCCTTTTTCGGGAGGCTCTTCCTCAGCAGAGCCCCTCCGGGAGGAGTGGGCGACCCGCCAGGTGCTATCATCAACGCTTCTGGCGCAGTTCCCAACAATGTCGGGTGTCATGTTCAACTCTTTGGGTGCAGTGCCCAATTCGTCTTGGATCAATGCCCAACCTTGCGGGTGCAATGCCCAACTCTTCGGGTGCAATACCAAATTTCCCGGGTGCAATGCCCAATTCTTTCGGGTGCAATGCCCGCTTCCTCAGGTGCCCTGCTCACTAGTTCGGGTGCAATGCCCAGTACGTCGGGCACATTGCCCGCCCCTCCTTGTCCTTGATTATGAGATAGGCTGCGTTTGTTTATGTTCGCCCGTTTCCGTTGCCGTCCTCGTTCAAACGTTTTCAGTAGTGGGGTTCCCCTTCCTCCGCCCTTTCTTCCTCGACCCCCTCGTCTCCATCCTCTCCTCCCGCATCCTCTTGCTCTTCTCCACTTAGCCCCTTTCCCCCATCCTTCCTTCTATTCCGCCGCAGTCGCTAGGGTTCTCCGCCTGTCTGAGCGCGGCGAGACCCGCGCCCCCCGCCGCCAGGCATCGCGCGACGCCCGCCGCCATAATCTCCCTCCGGGGCTTCGCTGCCAGAGCGCCGGGCCCAATGAATCCTCTGTCCCACGTCGTCGTTCGCTGCCCTGCCCTCCTCCCCGCCATTTGCTCGTCATCCGTGCCGTTTTCATCCCCCCCCTTCCTTGTGCTCGGTTCCTTTCTGCCCGCCGCGCCCTCCATTCCTTCATTCCGACGCGATCATGACGTTCTCCATCTGGCGAAGCGAAGCGCGAACCGCGCCCTACTACGCCAGGCGTCGCACGTTGCCCGCCGCCATGGTCTCCCCTCTTGGGTTTGGCCGACAGGTCGCGGCGCCTCTTGAGCGCGCGCACGCGTGCACGCGCGGACATGGCCGCCCGCGGATCGCGCTGGGTTGCCGCGCTCGGTTGCGCGGGCGGCGCGCGCCCCTGCGCCCCGAAGCCCCGTCGTGGGACTTGAAAAGCAGCGTCCGCCACAGACTGCGCCACCGCTCCCAGGCCATCGCAGACCGCGCGGCGCGCGACCGGCATGTCACGGCGGGTTTCGGGCGCGTTGCAGCAACCGTCGACAACTCCGCCAAGGGGGCGCGCTTGCGCCGCTTCGTGGGGCTGTTCGTGAACCAGGTCGCCGCTTCGGGGCCCACGCGCACGGCAGTCGCCACTGCGATCGGCCGCCAGTTACACATTCTACAGGTTTGCACCGCGCCCGCCGACCTCCAAGTCCTGCGAGCGAAACCTTACGTGGACCATTTTTGACATGGATATTGCAATGGCGCAACACGAACCAAGCGCCTAGAAGGAGGACTTGGAGGACAGCTCAAGGAAGGGCGACGAGGGCCGTCTCGCGGCCCCGTCTCGTGGCCCCTTCGGGGCGTTCCGGATCCCACTCGGAAGTGTTTTGGGCTGCGTCGGGGCGATTTCGGGGGTCTCTTGGAGCCGCCCTGGGGCACCGGGAAGCCGACGCGGCGAGGAAATGAATATTTCTTCCAACGCCCGATGAACAGTAACGATTTCTGCTCATGGGGGGCCCTCTTTAGGAGGCCTTTTGGAGGGTCGCCATGGGTGCATTTGAGATAGCGTTGAAGCCGACTTGGGCGTCTAGGGGAAAGTTTTCTGCTGGCGACTCGGGGCCCCCATGGACCGACCTGGGGGCGCGCCGCGGCCCTCCTGGCCCGTTTGGGCGCCATCTTGGGCGCGAAAACATTTTCGGCGCCACGCGGCAAACCCGGGGGGGCGCTCGACGCGCCCCAGGGGCCACGTGACGTTGCCTGGCCGATTTGGCGAGCTAGGGGCCGCCTCTCAACCGCCCTCAGGTTTCAGGGCTGAGGCTGCAAGGATTAGGCCGAGGACCCGAGGACGTTCCCATTCCGCCTCAAGGGCACGGCGGCTCATACATGCTGCAGCTTCCCCCAAAACGTGATCGCTATCACTTCGGGATTATCACTCGTGCTCGCGGGATCCAGGCCGCGTTTTCGTTCTGGCAGCCATGCTCCTTCCGTCGCCGGTTCGTCGCCGCCCGTCGTTCGACCGCGCCTGCAGCGCGCTTTTCGGTCGTTCAGACCATAGGTTGCAGCGCGTCGATTTTCCTTTCCAGCAAAGAAATACGTCCTACCACCCTCCCCCCCGGACTCATCCACATACCGGGAACATGTGTAAAGCTCAGGATTCTGACCGAATTTCCATCTTACCAGTGAATTCATATTATCCCAGCCAGGCCAGCATCGATTCCTACTCGGCCCCCTTGCAAACCATATTATGCGCGCGCACTCGTTTGTCCAAAATCAGAAATTGTTGATGCTCCCGTGCGAAAAATATGACGACGTGCGCACGCGTGCGTCGTCGCGCGCGCATGCCGAAATCGTTCAAGAACCTTTCTGGTTCCGGAAGGATGTTGAAGTCGAGTGTCCCCAAAAAACATATATAACATGGTTTCGCAACGCCTGTTTTCAACAAAAACGTGCGCGCGCGTTCTTTCGAATTCTGGAGACAACCATATGTGCTTAACAGTTTCAAGAACATTCTACCAAACGGACGTCGCGCGCGCGCATGTCGAAATCTTTCGAACGCCCTCGCGCGCGCGACGTCGCGAGAGCCCCTTGAAACAATTTGACGCAGTGCACGCGCGCGCGTCGTCGAGCTCGCATGACGAAATCCTTCAAAAAACGAATGAATTGGACAGAATTCGCAATCGAGTGCCCAAACACCATACACAAAAAAAAGGATTCGCAACACGGGTGTTGAACAACAGCGTGCGCACGCGTTGCTGCAATTGTTTGAGAAAAACCATGCGTTTTCCCAACAGCTGCACGACATGCTACCGAACGGGCCTCTCGCGCGCATGTCGAAGCCGATCGAACGACATTGCGCGCGTGCTGGGGTGGCACGATCCGTGTCAATAGTACCACATGCGAGCCGCTCTCGCGCGCATGCCGCGCGCGCGCGTGTCGAATGCCTTGCAAAGCTTTCATCACCGACGCGACAACGCCGTCATCGTCGTCGGCGTGATGGGCATCGGCACCGCCATCGCCAATATCATCACCATCATCATCATCATCATCATCATCATCATCATCATCATCATCATCGTGTTTACAATTGTCGCCAGCAGCATCGCCATTATAATCGTCATCGTGCCTATAATTGTCGACGTTACCATGATACCGCATCCGCCCAAGCCGCCGACTCGCACTCAAGTGCCCGATGGGATGTGTCGAGCGGTCAGTTCCACCGCGGCCTCGTCGGTCGCGCCAAACTACCTGGCCGCTGCGCGCGCGCATGCGCGGTTTGTCGCCGCCGCAGAGATGCACCAACCAGCGCCAAACACTCACCGCAATCGCCGCCGCATGAGGTTTGCAAACAAAGTTGCGGGTGGGCGAGTGAAATGTTTACGCGAGCAACGGAGTGGATAAGTCATTGCGAAACGAATTGCGAACTATAAAGTGCACCACATACATTGCGCAGCCTTTACACCACGCCATGGTTTGTTCCACAAATGTTGCATTACATATACTGGACATTATGGATAACACCACGTAGATGGCACAACGTGTATCGCACAACACAAAAGGGGTATGCTCACACCCTTTCGGGGTCCACTCCTGTCGAACACGTGCGTGTATACAGCACACGTGTGTCTGTTTTGTGTGTGTTGTGTGTCTCCCTCTCTATATATCGTTCGTGTTGTTTCCGTTTCGTTTTCGTTTCCCTCTTTGTTTGTTTGTTGATTGTGTTCCGTTGGGCCGTCTGTTGTATCCCCCCCCAGCCATGCGGTGTGTTTGGGTGTGTATGTATATATGTATATGAGAGTGCATACGTATATGACCTCATTTCATACATATGTATGTATGTATGGATCTCGATCTCTCTCTCTCTCTCGTTCGTTATCTCTCTCTCTCTCTCCTCTTTTTCTCTCTCTCTCTCTCTCTATTTCTCCTTCTGCCCTCCTTGATCCATTCGTATGTTTCCCTTTCTTCGCGCTTTCGCTCCTCTTTGCCACGCATCCTCGCCATCCGGTGCGTTTTCCAAGGGTGCCCCATCCCCTGCCGTCCTGCATGACCATGTCCTCCCCGCCGTCTTTCCTTGTCGCCTTGCGTAAGGGCTCTTCGTCTGGTCTCCGATGGTCTGCCGGTGCCCCCCCGAGCCCTCCGGGAGGCGGCCAGGGGCTCGCCAGACAGTGTGCGCAGGCGGGAACACAACTCCCAAGAGGCGAGTGGATGGCGCCCCCCCCCCCGAGGAAGATGAGGAGGAGGAGGAGGAGGAAAAGGAGGAGGAGGAGGAGGAGGCGGAGGAAGCGGAGGAGGAGGAGGAGGCGGAGGAAGAGGAGGAGGAGGAGGAGGAGGAGGAGGAGGAGGAAGAGGAGGAGGAGGAGCAGCCCCGCCCCGCAATGCCGATCAGGGTCCGAGGCTGCCGACCCTCTGGCGGAGTTCCTGGCGGGGGCCGTCGACACCAGCAATGGCCGGTTCAAGGATCCGCCACCCGTGCCCCCTGCCCCCATGTTGTTTCTGCCCCTTCGTGCACCGTACGGGGGTGAGGAAGAGAAAGAGGAGGAGGAGGAGGAGGAGGAGGAGGTGTGCCTCCTCCTCCCTCCCTCCTTCGCTCCTCGATTCCTCCTCCTCCTCCTCCTCCTCCTCCTCCCTTGCTCCTTCTCCTCCTCCTCCACCTCCTCCTCCTCCTTCTCTTCCTCCTCCTCCTTCTCCTTCTCCTCCTCTTCCTTCACTCCTCGATTCCTCCACCCTCTTCCTCTTCCTCCTCCTCCGCCTCCTCCTCCTCCTCTTCCTCCTCCTCCTCGTGGTTCCTGCCTCCACTTCTGCCTGCGTGCGCTCATTCCGAGCGCGCGGAGTGGGGGGGGAGAGGCAGGGTTTCGGGGGGGTGGGGGGGGCAACAGGAAGGGAGAGGAGTCAAGGGAGGAAGGTCCATCCCGACCGCCATGACTGGCGTCTCCTGAACATCACTGGGCGGTCACTGGCAAACAGTCTGCCCTGCTCGATATCTTGACTGGCGCTTACTAAATGGCTTCACTTGTAGGGGTGTTTGTTGTGAGGATGGTTCTTCTGCCCTTTCGAATCGAGAGGAGGGAGGATGGGGAGGGACCACTGCCCTCTTGCGCGTGTCAGCCAGGTCGCGCGCATGCGGTGCCCCTTGCCGCGCGAGTGCGTGGCAGCCGCTCCCCGCCCAGGAGCCAGCGGGCTGGCGAGGCTTCTTTGGGCCGAGGCAGAGGCCATCCCTCCCGCCACCCTCCATCCGCACTCCGCGTTCTCTCCCCATCTGCTCCGTGCCGCCCCCGTTCCCTCCGAAATCCGCCCTCCCTCGCGTTCTCTTCGTCCACATCCTCGCTCCTCCCTCGCGGTTCGTCGCGAGACTGTCGAGGCTCCCGACCGAGCCGAACCGAATCCCTGCTCCCTCTTCCCGCCAACCCAGCACTCTCCCTCCCCCTCCCCTCCCCCGCTTGAAGCAGCCACCGCATGCTGGAGGATCTTCCATATTGGCCTCCGCATGCGAGGACGCACACGTGCAGCTCTGTCGGTAACCAGGGGTGCGTAGCACCCTTCCACGTTTCCTTGAACGCAATGACGGCGCACAGTCGTTGTAACGCCAGGCTGAGTCCAAAAAGTCCCTCACACCCCTCCCTCCCTGAAGGCCCAGGGGTACGGTAGGTTCGTGTCGTCGGCACACAGGGGGGCCCCCCAGGCCTTTGGGATTCGGGTCTGGGCACAGGGCCCCTCGTCGGCCACCGTCGGGACGCAGCCTATTCGAGGCATGGCGTGGTGGCGCTCTTGGCCTTCCGACCGACGGGGAACAACAGGGCACGCATGCCCCGGTTCTTGCCCAGGGAAGAGCGAGATTGAGGAGAAGCGGGGTGAGCGGGGGAGGACTATACTTGGCATCGCTCGGACGTGTGCGTTTTTTTCCTCGGCGAGGACCATCGAGGAGCATCCTTGATCATTTGGCGGAAAACCACGCACGAAGCCGAAAAACACACAGGGAATGGACGTCCGAGCGATGGCCAGTATAGGGGCTTGCTTGGCGTTCTCTTGCGGCCATCATGCCCATCATGAGGAGGCACGGGTAAGAGTGCCCAGGGAGCGACGACACAGCTCCTGAGCGAGGGAACGAAAATATCGAAGTCGGAGTGCCAGCACAGAGCTTTGCAGGACAATGAAAGGAAAGGCCCACCATCCCTCCGCTCCGCACTCAGGCCTTCGTCCCGTGATGCATTCAGCTTCTAGTCATCGCAAATTAAAGGACCCCGAGCCTTGATAACACAGCGAAGACCTGGCCTCACTGAGGTTCCTGTCTTTGCATCAGATCATCAGGGGTGAGTCTGGGCGGCTTGTTTTGATGCATCTTCAGACAAGGCCAGTATCCATAATGTGTGGGGCCATCGCAGCTCAAGTTCCTTTCCAGAGGGATAGGGGCCCTCGTCTTGGTTGGTCATCCAGTGATGCCATCGCCACCAGAGAAAAGACCTGCAAGGCGCGGACCTGTGGTAAGCCGGCGGCCTCGCTGTATATTGCTGGATCTGGTTCGCGTGCATCAGGAGGGAAAAAACACACAGACACAATTAATCGTCGACCCCCAGGAAAATATTGGAGAATATGGGAAGTGGGGGGGACGACAGAAACCCAGAAGATATGGGAAACTATGGGGAATCGTTTTATTTGTGTGTATTTATTGGTGTGTCCTGGGGCCTCTTCAGTGCAGGCGCCCTGCTCGAAGGGTCGGGGTCTGTCACTCCCCCCCAGCAACGCGGCGGGGGGGGGGCGACCTGGCAGTCCCCTCCCCTCTTCTCCGCCGCGCCGACGGCCTGGCCCATGTGTTGCACTGTCCGCGGCCGCAGCGTCCGCGAGCGAGCGAGGAGGAGAGGAGCAGGAGGGTGGAGGACGACCAGCTCGGCATCGCTCGGACGTGCGCGTTTTTTTCCTCGGCGAGGACCACCGAGGAGCATCCTTGATCATTTGGCGAAAAAGCCGCGCACGAAACCGAAAAAAACACAAAACATGGACGTCCGAGCGATGGCGAGAGTGGGTGAGCTCTGCCGCCCTGGACCCTGCCCCTCCAGAGTGCTCCCGGAGCACTCGGGCGGCGGGGCGAGGGCGGAGCACCATCGAGCCTCTCGTCCCGTGGACGCTCGGCGGGTCGAGGGCAGAGACAGGCAGACGAGGAAAAGGCATTCAGGAGAGGAAAATCAACGCACAGACACAATTAATCCTGGATTCCCCTGAAAATATGGGAAAATATGGGGAAGTGGGCGGGAAGACAGAAACCCAGAAAATATGGGAAAATATCGGGAGTATGTTTATTTGTGTGTATTCATTTGTGTGTCCTGGGGCCCCTTTAGTCCAGGCCTCCCAGCGGAGCAGGTGAGGTCGGACGATCGCGCCGCATCACCAGGGCATCCACGAGGCGGCTCGATGTGGCGCCTGGAGTTCTCCACGCCGATGGTGCCGAGCGGCGCGGTCCCCCGACCCCCATCTACTCGGTCCCTATATTGCATGCCTCTAGTCTGCCGCCAGTGCCGCCGCTGCCACTCCGCAAGGGTTATACCATCTTCGAGGATCCAGGCAGGTCAAACGAGGTAGATCCGGAGAACTCGACGTAAACAAATCCATATTGTAGAGGCCTCAGGCCTGTGGCGCCGATCCAGGAAGATCCGGGTCGCTCTGTTTAATGGCTTGTGAGCTTGACCTCGAGGAGGGAGGAGGAGGGAGGAGGAGGAGGAGGAGGAGGAGGAGGGGGAGGAGGAGGAGGGGGAGGAGGAGCTGGGGAAGGAGGTGGAGAGTGAGGGGGAGGATGGCGCTGGCAGTCGCCTTCTTTGGGCAGCCTGGGGTGCTGCATGGCACGCCTGCGCCGTGGCCGCCCGCCGAGCTCGAGGCGGCGGGCTGTCGTTCCCCGGCGGGCCGGCTCGCTGCGAGAGCTCGGCCTCCGCACCCGGGGGCCCGACGCCCTGCCCGGGCACGGACCCGGAGACTTACCAGCCTCGAGCGTGTCCCTATCCCTAAGATTGGCACGCCAAAAGGACGTGTCCCTATCCCTATCCCTTTGTGCATCTTCCCCGTGCCTCCTCTCCCCCTCCCTCGTCGGCCGTCCTCCAGCCTGTGCCTCCCCCCGCCTCCCCCTCCGCCGGCGCCACCGCCGCCTCCGCTCCAACTGTGCTGCCCCTCCTCCACCCCCGCTCACGGTCCCCGTGGGCCCCCCCCTTGCAAACGCATGGCAGCAAACCTTGGATTACCAGCCTCGAACGTATCCCTATCCCTAAGATTGACACGCCAAAAGGCGACGACAATCGTAGGGATTCGCCCTCAAACAAGAAGGGAGTCCCTAAGGTTGGCATCGTGATGAGGAGGTGCTCAGTATAGGGATAGGGATATGCTCCAGGCTTGTAAGGAGAGGAGTGGGGTTATGTCGGGGGGGTCCCCCCTACATTGGGACGTTCGACGAAAGATGAATCGGGGGTGGACGGAGCCCCCAACGGTGACACGTCGATGAGTGACTTGTCCGTCTTCGGTTCTCGAGAGGGCACCGCGGCCGTTACTTTCCAGGCTTGCGCCCGCCAGGTTTGGGCCTCAGGTCGCTTTCACTAAACCACGTTTTACTAAAGGGGGGTCTGTCCATCCCTGAAAGGGGGTCAATGCAAACGGGGGTCAGCCAGAAGCCAGAGCGCCAGATCTTGCAGGATCCTGCAGTGCCAGGGTCGCATTGACCCGGGTTTGGGTGCAGGATCGTGCCGGATTTTGCAGGATCTTTCGCGTTGACCCGGAGAGAAGTAGGGTTATGTCGGGGGTGTCCCCCTACAGTCGGGGGCGGAAAAGAGGGGGGTGATGACTAGGGGGGGGTGGACATCATGGCGGGGGGCATGATATTTCCCCAGATCTCATGGCGCCACTTCTTGTTTCCTTACGTCCCTGGCCCCCCCGCCGGGCCGCGCACATGCCGCCGGTCATGATTTGCACCCCCCCCCACTTGGACACCCCCCTCTTGGCCGCTCCCGATATGTCGGGGGGGGTCCTACAGTGGAACGCTCGACGAAAGATTCAAACTACCCCAAAAATGCTCCAAAAAGGCCAACAGATAGTTTAAAAAATTGTCCCCGGACTATGTTTGAACTATTGTTGGACTATGTGTTGGGGTATTTTTGATTTTTCGTCGAAAATTCCCCTGTAGGGGGACAGGCCCGACTTGACTTGACCCGGCAGAGCCACGCCCAGGCGACCCCCAGCAGAGTTGGAATCGCACGACGGAGGGGCGGCTTCCTCTGTGCAGATCCGCGCGGCACAGTGCAGGCACATCTGACCAGGCCCCGGCGGAGTCTGAGTCTGGATCAGATCATGGGCGCACCGCAGAAGTCGTGAAGCCCTCAACGAGCCCCCACCCCCGCCCTTCGGGCCGGACGAAAGGGGGGTTACGAAATCTGCTGCATGCAGCTGGTTTCGGCCCCACCGAGGGGCCCACATTCCTCGACACATGGCCGCCTCCGGCGCCGAGATTGCGCCGGAAAAATCAGCTACGTGAGCCGATTCTAAAACCCCCCCCTTTGCTATCCCCCCCTTTCGCCCCCACCCCCGCCCCGCGCCCCGCGGCCCGGGGCAGGAGCGCGAGGGCTACTCCCTGGCGGAGGCCCGCGCCGCTCTGCGCTGGGCGCCGCGGCGGCTGGACCCCATCAGGCGCCCGCCGACCGAGCGAGCGAGCGAGCGAGCGACCACCAGGACGGCCGTCCGGGCGCCTATCTTTGAGTCGGGCCTGTCCCCCTACAGGGGGACTTTCGAGGAAACATAAAGAATACCCCAACAATAGTCAAAAAATGGTCCAAAAATAGTCCGGGGATGTTTTGTATTTGTTTTACATGTTTGGGGCATTTTGGAGTATTTTTAATTTCTCATCGAAAACCCCCCTGTAGGGGGACACGCCCGACATACCCTTCGTGCCTCGCCGGCCCCTTCAGCGGTGATCGGCCCCCTTCTCGGGATGGTCCCCTCCTGCAGTGCCAGGCGGCACCTGCAGGAGGGGACCACCGGCAGCACCTGCGAGGACCTCGCGCCCTCAGGATAGGACAGGATGGGATAGGAGTGCGGGGGGGGGCGGGCGCGTAGAGCAGCGGATAGGATAGGATAGGATAGGATAGGAGTGCGGGGCGGGGATAGGATAGGATAGGAGAGGAGAGGAGAGGAGAGGAGAGGAGAGGAGAGGAGAGGATAGGATAGGATAGGGGCGCTCCCGCAGAAGCAAAAGTCTCTGGAGCTCCGCGGCGATGGCTTGAAGCAGGGCTGGGCCCGCCTCCACGGCGCGCGCTCCGGGGGCGGAGCCGGAGGCGCCGCCAGGGAGGCGCGGGAGCCGATCCAAGAAATCCGCGCGCGCAGCTCCGAAGGTTGATGCTCACGCCGTTGTTTCATCACTCGGGCGAGTCACGACGCGAAGAAAGCAGTGAAGGAAGAGGTACCCATACTGCTACCCTTAAGTCGGGCCTGTCCCTCTACAGGAAGAATATTCAAAAATAGTCAAAACTAGTATGGGGATCTGTTTATGAGCATGTGTTTGCTATTTCGGGGCGTGTTCGGAGTATGTTTTAAGTTTTCGCCCTAAGTCCGCCTGTAGGAGACACGCCCGACCCAACGCCACCCTTGCCCGACCTGATGCCACCCTAATGCCACCCTTGCCAGACCGGTTTCCGCTCCGTGGGCCCGCGTCGCCGCGAAGCCTCGGCGCGTGGACCACGAGCCAAGGGCAGGGGGGCCCAGCAAGCGGTGGCCGGGGCGGTCCGAGCGCTCCTCCTTGCCCTGGGGCGGCCGATGGCCCGACGTGCCCCTCCGCAGCGGCACGAGGACCTCTCAGAGAAGGAAGCGGTGCCCATACCTCTGCCCCCTCGCCCGTCCTCCCCCGTCTTGGGCCTCCTCGGAGGCCCTCGTCGCCACCGCTGGATTCGCCTCGAAACCCTGGTCAGGATGCACCCCAGGAGAGGTCCCGGGGAATACCGGTATCGGTACCTGTTAGTTTCCCCAGGGTGGGGGGGAGACGGATGAGGAGGAGGGGGGACGAGGACCAGTTGGAGGGGGGGGAAGGAGGAGGAGGAGGAGGAGGAGGAGGAGGAGGAGGAGGAGGAGGGGAGGAGGAGGAGG